CAAGAAGCCATGTGGGGGACACAGCAAACGTGGAAGAAGGTGCTCTGGTCAGATGAGACCAAAACTGAACTTTATGGCCTAAAAACAAAACACTAAGTGTGGCAAAAAAACTAACACTGCATATCAACCTGAACACACCATCCCCACCGTGAAACATGGTGGTGGCAGCATCATGTTGTGGGGATGATTTTCTTTTCTTCAGCAGGGACAGGGAAGCTGGTCAGAGTTGATGGGAAGATGAATAGAGACAAATACAGGCCAATCTCAGAAGAAAACCTGTTAGAATCTGCAAAAGACTTGAGAATGGGGTGGAGGTTCACCTTCCAGCAGGACAATGATCCTAAACATACAGCCAGAGCCACAATGGAATGGTTTGGGTCAAAGCATATTCATGTGCTAGAATGGCCCAGTCAAAGTCCAGACCTAAATCCAATTGAGACTTGAAAATTGCTGTTCACAGACGTTCTCCATCCAATCTGACAGAGCTTGAGCTATATTGCAAAGAAGAATGGGCAAAAATGTCACTCTAGATGTGCAAAGCTGGTAGAGATATCCCCCAAAAAAACTTGCAGCTTTAATTGCAGCAAAAGGTGGTTCTACAAAGCATTGACTCAGAGGGGCTGAATACAAATGCACGCTATACTTTTCACATTTATTTGTAAAAATTTTGAAAACCATTTATCATTTTCCTTCCACTTCACAATCATGTCCCACTTTGTATTGGTCTATCACACAAGTGGAAAATTTTGAGGGGTACGAATATATGAATACTTTTTCAAGGCACTGTATTTTCTGTTCTTGCATAAAATGTCAGATATGGTGCCTGCATTAGTTTTCTTTTTCAAGCTAAGGACTGAAAAGCTGCAATATATTATATTTTTGTTGTTAGGTTTATACATGCCTTCAATTTGGGCAGAAATATATTTTAAGGATAAGTTCACCTTATGTTAGACCCATATTCAGGTGATTAAAATAATACAATACTAAATGGTGTATTAATCAAAAGACTATGACTAAAATTAAATTGAAATTTGACGTCAAAATTACCACTGACAAACAGATCTACTTGACCATATAAATGTGCAGGAAAGAATGGAACTCAAAAGAACTGGAATAAAGGAATCATATACTTGGAAAAAATACAGGGGCTGACTGATTTTATTGTTTTCCTTATCATTGACTTGTATACAAGAAGGCAGTGAGTCAAAATTCCTAATCTGCATACTACTTCTGGGTCAGTGGTTCAGAAAGTATCGTAGCCTCTAGGTCAGCACAACAGCCAGGCAATTCGAATTTTCCCCCCAAAAAAGAGATGAGCAATGGCAATCCCCTTATTTTTCTCATTACAGGTCTCCCTTAAGAAAAAAAAAAATGAACTTTAAAGATTAACACCTTGTAAGGTAGGGGCAGTGAAATCTATTTAAATAGCACCCATTACCTATATTGTTTCATAATGCTTGTGATTCAAAGTATCCATTGAGCATCCATAAGTGTAAAGGTCGAACATTTCTCTTGGAAAATAGTTATAATTTACTGCACAACCTAAGGGCAAAAATATCACATATACTATTTATACAGCCTATTATTTGACCGTACCGTCTTACAAGTCAGATTTGTTCTTAAGTTGTTAAATGGCGCTGTTTAGAGCCCATTTACACCAGAAAAAAGTATGCATTTTCTTTTGTTGAGGAGTATTGCATTAGGCAGCCAATTCAACATGAATGGCCTACAACGTACCTCAGAATACAAAAATACAGGCTTCACTGCTTTACAGCGCATTGCTCCGGATACAGTGCGATGCGATGCACATGCGAGGTGGAGGTGCATTTGTTCAAAATAAATAGCATTACAGCGCATCAACACTTTACCGCAATGCTGGTGGATTGAATAGGTCCTTTAGATGGCGGTTAGCTGTGAGAGCCTAGACTACCTCCAGGGCTGGAAGCCTTGCTAGTCCTGGAATTGACATATGACTGTGCGGAATGTTCCACAAGGGGAACTCTGCTGTCTGAAGCAAACACACACTACTTCTGGAAGACAGCAATGGTAAGCTTCAGTGCTGCAAGGAAATCCTCAGCTGTAACAGATACTATATGCCCCAACAGTATTTCTTCAAGGATCACCAGTGCAATCGATGGTTTATTAAACGTAGTCATGCTTCTAAACATTGCTAAGAATTATTTACTTGGTTCTTCCTGTAATTGGGAAATGGACCAACTCTGCCTTTTTTCAGTACACATATAAATAATGAAAGCAGAAGAAAAAGGGGAAAAAGGGTTGCTTTACATAAACTCTTTACAATACTCAACTGGCAAACTTTGAGATTACAGCTATAAATACTTATACTTCCTTTTGGTTTTGTGAACTTGCTGCTCTTTGCATAATATAATACATAAATGTGGTATAAAATCATATTTATATATAAATATATATATATATGTACATGTACAAGGAGGTGCGTCTGTCCAGGCCCATCCAAGGCTCTTAGGAGCACAAAATCCAGACACACACATAACAATTTAGAGTTTGACACAATGATCCAGCCTACTCTCTGTACAGTAATGAAGGAACTAGCTGCCTCTTCCCACCACTGAGGTTCCTCAGTGTGTCAGTGCAAGTGATAATGTAGCAAACCACAACATGACCGAACTACAGTAAACTGAAATCTGATTGGAAGATATGGGTTACTGCACTTTGCACCACCTCACTGAACAAACCTGCCTGTGTGATCTGTACTGACATGCGCACTAAATACAAAGAATTTCACCATATCAGGAATCCATCTTTAATGGGATTCTATCCCACAGCAAATCACAGGTGTGAGAAACCTCAGACTGAAACTGTAATTTGTAACACCTGAGCTGCTTGCAACCAAGGCAGTGACAACATAGTGAGGTGAGTCCATTCGACTTCTCTGTGTCTTAATATGCTGTTTGGGGGTTGGGGAATAAAATCTCTCACTGGGAAATTTACTTCATGACAGATCTACCACAACTGTGCTGCCCTTAGAAATACACCATAAATATGTGTGTGTATGTGTATATATATATATATATATATATATATGTAGTTAGGTCCATATATTTTTGGACACAGGCACAATTTTAGTTTTTCTTCAGGTATTTACCAAAACATATTCAAGCTATAGTTATATAATGCGCATGGGCTGAAAGTGCACACTCTCAGGTTTAATTTGAGAGTATGTACATCCAAATTGGAGGAAGGGTTTAGGAATTACAGCTCTTAAGATTAGTCATCCCCCCCTTTATTTCAAGGGACCAAAAGTAATTAGACAGTTGAATTAAAAGCTGGCCAGGTGTGGGCTACTCCATTATTTCTTCATCAATTAAGCAGGTAAAAGTTCTGGAGTTGATTCTAAGTGTGGTATTTGCATTTAGAATCTATTGCTGTGAACCTACATCATGCGTTCAAAGGAGCTGTCCATGCAACTGAAACAGGCCATTGTAAGGCTTCAAAAATTAAACAAATCCATCAGAGAGATAGCAGCAACATTAGGAGTGGCCAAATCAACAATTTGGTGCATTCTGATGAAAGAATAATGCACTGGTGAGCTCAGCAACATAAAAAGGCATGGACGTTCATGGAAGACAACAGTGGTGGATGATCGCAGGATCCTCTCTATGGTAAAGAAAAACCCAGACAAGTGAAGGACACTCTTCAGGAGGTGGACATATCATTGTCCAAGTCTACAATCAAGAAAAGACTTCACGAGAGCAAATACAGAGGGTTCACCACAAGGTGCAAACCATTCATAAGTCTGAAGAATAGAAAAGCCAGATTAGACTTTGCCAAAAAACATCTAAAAAAGCCAGACCAGTTCTGGAAAAGCATTCTTTGGACAGATGAAACTAAGATTAATCTGTACCAGAATGACGGAGAAAAAAAAAAGTGTGGAGAAGGCTTGGAACAGCTCATGATCCAAAGCACACAACGTCATCTGTAAGACACGGTGGAGGCAGTGTGATGGCATGGGCATGCATGGCTTCCAGTGGCACTGGGCCATTGGTGTTTATTGATGATGTGACAGAAGACAGAAGAAGCCGGATGAATTCTGCAGTGTTTAGAGATATACTGTCAACCCAGATTCAACAAAATTGATTGGATCGTGCTTCACAGTACATATGGACAATGATCCAAAACACATTGCAGAAAAACAACCCAGGAGCTTTTGAAGGAAAAGAAGTGGAATATTCTGCAATGACCGAGTCAATCACCTGATCTCAACCCCATTGAGCATGCATTGCACTTGCTGAAGGCAAAACTAAAGGCAGAAAGACCCACAAACAAAGAACTAAAGACAGCTGCAGTTAGAGCCTGGCAAAGCATCAGAAAGGAGGAAACCCAGTCTTTAGTAATGTCCATGGGTTCCAGACTTCAGGCAGTCATTGCCAGTAAAGGATTATCATCAAAATATTAAAAATTAACATTTTATTTATGATTATATTCAATTGCCCAAATACGTTTGGTCCCTTGAAAAAAGGGGGGAAGGCTATTCTTAAGAGCTGTAATTCCTAAACCATGCTTCCAATTTGATTGCACATACCCTCAAATTAAACCTGAGAGTGTGCACTTTCAGCCCATATCCATTATATAACTATAGCTTAAATATGTTTTGGTAAATACCTGAAAAAAACTAAAATTGTGCCTGTGTCCAAAATATATATGGAACTAACTGTATACACATACACATACATACTAACACATACAGGGGGTATATGTTTATTTAAAAAAAATGTTAAAATAACATACAAATAGACAGCATAAGTCATTACACAATATGATTATTCATTAAAAACAGATTGTGGAGCTGTTTTTTTTTTTCTTCGGTTTATATACACGAAGGATTGACATAACCAAGAATAATGGTATCAGTTGCTTAAAAAAAATACAAATTAAAAAAGAAAAAAAAAAAAAAAAAGATATATGTATATATATATATATATATTTGTGTCATTATCAACACTCTTTATATTTGGGTATCACTGGCAGAACGGAGATGCTGTGGGGTCAAATCCTTTAAAAACATCCTTTAGGGAACCAGCGTCCTGTTCAGAGTCCTGTGTTGGGCTGTTTCCAGCAAAGGGACTTCCGCTGCCGGTTTTGGTTTGCTTGACCAAACCATAGACAGATGGCACTGGCAAGTTGTGAACAGCTGCCTGGCTGTTATCTGAAACAGCTGTAGTTTTAGCACGGGGCCGGTTGTAACTGTTGTAGCGGTCTGTGACCGTATCTGAATTAGGTTTGTCTGCTTCAGGTTGGTCCAGGGCAGACTTGCGCACAAAAAGGGGCTCTTTTGCTTTACCAGCAGTTTTGCTGTCTGAACCCTTCGAGGTTGTCTCATTAGAAGTGGCCTCAGCTGAAGTCTTGCTCCCCATCCGAGGATCATACAAACTAATGGTGCTGAGAACGTTACTTTGGCCGCTGGGTTTGCTCAGTCCCCCTACAGTCAGCAGACGGGGGTCATAGGGAGCAATGGTTGTTGTGCTCTCAACAGGAGGTATTATGGGAAGGGGTTGTGTAGGTTCTGGTGGCCGTGGAGGCAGCACAGGTTCTGTGGATTTTTGAAGACGTGGGTCAGCAGGAGGTTTCCGTGTTCGAGGATCAGTGGGTTTTTCAGCTGGTGCTGATGCAGTGCTGGAGGCAGCATTGACAGTCTTCAAAATCCTAGACAGCAGTTCAAAATCAGGCAAGCTAGTATTTGAAGCTGGTGCATCAGAAGCAGTTGCCCGCTGACGTGGGTCGTGTGATACTGAGGTGGATGGATGGTTAAGTCTGGAATCAAGACTTTGCATAGACTGTAGTGCAGGAGGCATTGGGATGAAGTCCTGTTTAGGAATGGGCAGTGGGATAAGGTCTTCAGGACTCCATAAAACAGTTCTGGCAAAGTTTGTTTTGTTCAAAGTTACATCTTTTTTGATATGGCTGAACTGCTGAAGCTGACTTCTTGGGTCTCTTAATGTATGTCCAGGGGAGAGGATCAAGGGGGATGTTGACAGGCTTATCCCGTAGGACCCTTTCACCTTCTTCTTCATCTCCAGCTATTTTATTTACTGGGGAGTCTTGTTTTGAAGAATGAACTGCATGTCTGGCCAATCTAGGGTCACTTGGACCTTTGTCAGATAAAGAGTTGTCTGTGGTTCTGGAAAGTCGTGGATCACGAGAGAGACGGGGATCAGTAGGGCGGCTGGATGGAGCTGCTGAACTTTTTTGCAGACGTGGGTCAACCTGTCCCCCTGTACTGGTGTCTCGGGAAGGGACTTGCGAAGCAGGGCGGTTAGAGGACTGCTGTCGTAATGTCTTGAGTATTGAAGTCACGCTGCTTCCTCCTTCCTCTTCATCACTGGAGTACCAGTTGCCAGGATCACCTGAAAAATGTTAACAATGATCATTAATTTATAGCTCACAGAAGGACTTGGTACAGGAAAGTTCAAAAGTACAAGTACGCAAAGTAGTTAGAGAATATACAGAAAATATGCTAGAAAATGATGTAACCATGATCGATCAGATATCTGTTCATAAGTATTATATGTGACAAGTAAAACATTAAGTCTGAAGCAAGTTAAGGTAAAACTCCACATAAACAGATTTACATACACCAACTATGACTACCCACCTAATATTAAGTATTTATTTATTTTTTTTACAGGTACTTATATGGAGCCGTCAATTTACGCATCGCTTTACATATATATTGTACATTCACATCAGTCCCTAACCCTCAAGGGGTGTACAATCTAAGGTCCCTAACTCACATTTCATACATACACATACTAGGGCCAATTTACCTACCAGCATGTCTTTGGCATGTGGGAGGTAACGGGGTACCCGGAGGAAATCCACAAAGGCACTGGGAGAACATGTAAACTCCAGGCAGGTGGTGCCATGGTTGGGATTCGAATCAATGACACTAGTACTAGTACTAACCATTTAGCCACTGTACTGCCCTTTTGTAGCCAAACACATCAAGGCATGGACTCCACTAAACAAAGCATCACACTGCCTCCACTGACTTGCCTTTGCTCCATTACGAATCCTTTTGCATCTCTGGGGGGGGGTTGCAGTGTGGACCACACTCGGGTGACACAACCACCATCAGGAAGGGAGGGGGGTACGACAGCCACATGTAGGGGGCCCGGGCGTCATTGTTGTCATTCTTTGCCACTGCAGTCCCACCTCCTGGCCGCCTCGCATCTAGCAAACCATAGCAACCAATCACATGATTGATACGCCGTCAGCATTCAGTGAAGTTAACTGAACTTCTTACTCAGACCCAGCTGCACACTGTTTTCCCAAGCCCACCAAAGGGCCACAGAGTTCCGTTAACTGGGTCCCAGCTCCCAGCCTCCAACCCTCGGTAAGAGAATTCAAAGTGGAGGACACTGATGGAGGGATCTCTGAGTGGGGACACTGATTTCGACCTCTTATTGGGGGGGGGGGGGGGGGGGGGGGGACACTGATGGGGACCTCTGACGGGGACTGAAGTGGAGTGTCACAGTGCAGAGGACCAACTCCATGAATATCCTGTCACCAACCATCCCCGCAAACGCACCGCCCCCTCCTTCCCTGGAAAACTTTGCTGCTCAGTCTAAAAGGCCTGGGCCTATTTTCTCTCCCAGTCTGGGCCTGCAGTGACACCATCAAGTAGGAAGTGATATCCAACCTCGACGGTGTCACCCACATCCGTGACAGCGGATGATCAGCACACTGGCACCGACCGCATGATTTACAGGGGACTGAAACTAGACAGGAAAAAGCCTGGATGTGCTAGCCTGCCCAGTGTCTACTGCTCTGTCCTGCTGTCATTCTACAGCGGCAGTACAGAGCACTGTAGCAGGCTGGGGGGTAGGGAGAGCTGCTCTGATGTGATGCCGAAAAATTATTGAAGGGGGGAGGGGTGACACTGTTTTACCATTCCAGGTGACACCAACCGCCTAGTGATGCCACTGATCCTGGTGCCATCTCTACCTCAGGTAATCAATTCACACACACCAGGCCAGCCACATGATGTAAAAGAAAAATGTGATTCATCAGAACAGGCCACCCTCCATTGCTCCGTGGTCCAGTTCTGATGCTCACATGACCATTGTAGGCACTTTTGGCTTTTTGAGCATAGGTGCCCTGACCAGTTTGTGGTTACACAGCCCCATACACAACAAACTGTGATGTACTGTGTATTCTGACGCCCTTCTACTGGAACCAGCATTAACTTTTTAGTATTTTAAATTACAGTAGCTCTTCTATTGGATCAGACTACATGGGCCAGCCATTGCATTAACAAGTCTTGGCCATCGATGACCCTGTCACCGGTTTTCTTTGGTAGGTCCTGACCACTGCAGACTGGGAACATCCCACAAGAGCTGCAGTTTTGGAGTTGCTCTATTACAGTAATCTAACCATTACAATTTGGCCCTTGTCAAAGTCACTTAAATTCTTACGCTTGCCCAATTTCAATTGTAATCAACTTCAGGGACAACAAATTCATCTATTGCCTAATATATCCCACCAACTTCAGATGCCATTGTAACAAGATAATCAGTGTTATTCAATATAACTGTTAGTGCTCATAATGTTTTGGCTGATGGGCGATAAGCTTATCCTCAAAAGGATTTGTAAATTCTGGCCTTTCTGCATAGCCTGGAAAATTTTTCTAAGACTATCAGCAAAGCACAAATGTAGCACAGCAATACTAAATATTCACATGGCAGGAACTCAGTGCATTTAGGCATCTATACATGGTGAAGACAACTTGTTGACGTTCAAACCAAGCATCCAAATGGGGAAGAAAGGGAATTTAAGTGACTTTGAACGTGACATGGTTGTTGGTGCCAGACAGGCTGGTCTGAGTATTTCAAAAACTGCTGATCTACTGGGACTTTCACGCACAAGCATCTCTAGGGTTTACAGAGAATGGTCCAAAAAACAGAACATATCAATTGAGTGGCTGTTTGGTGGACAAAAATGACTTGTCATAGGGGAAAGGGTAGACTGGTATGAGATGATAGAAAGGCAACAGTAACTCAACTAACCACTTTTTTTAAAACCAAGGTATGCAGAATACCATCTCTGAACGCACATGTCAAACCTCGGAACTGGGCGCCACTCCTGTCAGCTAAGAACAGGAAACGGAGGCTACAATTCGCACAGGCTCACCAAAATTGGCCTGAGTATTGTTGCTGACCATGTAAATCCCTTTATGAGTACAGTGTACCCATCTTCTGATGGCTACTTCCAGCAGGATAATGCATCATGTCGCAAAACTCAAATCATCACAAACCGGTTTCTTGAACATGACAATGAGTTCACTGTACTCCGATGGCCTCCACAGTCACCAGATCTCACTCCTAGAGCACCTTTGGGATGTGGTAGAACGGGAGATTCGCATCACGGTCGAAATGGAACAAAATCTCTGAGGAATGTTTCCAACACTTTGTTGAAGCTAAGCCACAAAGAATTAAAGCAGTTCTGAAGGCAAAAGGGGATCCAACTTGGTACTAGCAAGGTGTACCTAATAAAGTGGATGGTGAGTATACACAGCCTGCATATATAGCAAATAAAGTAGATCCCATGTGTATAAACATGACAAATATATTTAAGGGCCATTCATACCTGTGTGTGCTTTAAAGAAGAACTTCGGAATAAGCAAAAAAAAAAATCACCCATTAGTACACCACCCTACACAAAACAGTTAACACAATTTTGAAAATCCTTACCATTTAAGAGAAAAGACTAATTGAATTTTCATAACGTCATCTCTGTAATTTAAAAGATAACACCATCTGCTCTGCGAAGGATGGGGTGTAACAGCAGAGATTACATCATATCCTCTCCTTTCACTGCAGTAAAAGGAAACTACAGCTCCCATCATACAAAGGGAAATGTAGTGAATGTGCGTGGGTACACTCGGCCTGCACGTTGAATGAGTCTCAGTCCACCACACTGCAAGTGGGCCTGAATTACACCACTGCTGGAGAAAAAACTACAGAAGGAATGTGCCAAGTCCAGTGGCTGGAATAGGAGGCATGGCAGCCACCAGTCTTACAAACAGGAACCCAAAGAGAATTAACGGTTTGATTTAAAAAATGAATTGGCCATTTCACAGCAACTACTGAGTGAACCAAATAATGGATGACATACTCAGTGAATGTAGGAAATCAGCAACAAGGACATGTTAAGAAGTTTTTACCCAAATTTCTGCTTTAAGGCAGCCCATTTATTTTTCAGGGAATACAAGGCTATCTCTGATTGGTCACAGTGAACAGAAACATCACAATCTATGTCTCAGCCAATCAGAGGAAGCCATGTATTCATTAAGAGACACACACACAACTTTAAGTACACCAGGGGGAAGCTGCTGGTGCTCCCTCCAGAGGAAAATGTTGATTCCTATACATTGCATGGGCTACAATGGCAAATTACAGATTCACGATCAGCCACTGGGAGGTGGCCTTTGCATAATTCGTTTAAAGTGGTAAATAAACCCAAAAGCAAACATATATCATATCCCAGCTTATAATTTCTTAGATGTGGTAGCTGCTGCATTATATTACTTTTTTAGGTTTTTTTTTTCCTTATTTTTACCTGGTACTTTGGCCAGTAAGTGTGTTGTTTTCCAAAAGAACAAGCTCTCTTGCAGATATATTAGAGACATGAGGCTAACCATTTACAACTGACAGTGGTGCTTACAATGATCAGCTTTTATTTATGTAAAAACCTTTATCCCAAAAAGAAAAATGCTGTTGATGTAACTGCTTAAAAAATGTGAGCTGGAGTTTGGCTTCAATCTGTTATTGTATCCAAATCTGTTAGTACGTATAATACTACCCTCCCCCAGATGAACAATGCTACCTTCCAAAGGTGCCCCTGTGCTCCTTTATCCAGAGTGGAGGCACTCTAAATACAGGAGGTGTGTTACTGGCCAGATCATTAGATGAAAACAGAGAGCAAAAAAACTAAAATAAAAGAAAACAAATGTAGCCACCACATCTAATGATTGGTAAGCTGCAATATAATACATTTTTGGTTTTGGTCTTTAAGCAAAGCTGGCCCAAAGTAAGTGTTTAAAAAAAATCCCATTCCTGAAATTCTTCTTTAAAATGACAGATATATAAAAGATAATGTAAAGTGAAGCAATCCTTAAATTGATCAGCAAACTTGAGCTTTCCATTTTTGAAGTAAAAGAAAACTTTGCTGTACCTAAAGCTGACTATCAATCTGATTATACATGAATGCTGACAGCTAACAACATAATGGCCCCTGAATCTTTGGTAAACCAGATGCCAGCTTTCATAACCTAACTGTGGCAAGTGGTTATATTTCATTGTTAGAAACAAAATTCTATCCCCTTCTGCAGTTTATATACATGGAGCTCATTCTGATGAATTCACTTGTGTATAAAGTTACATCACCTTCTTCATTATCTCTGTCCTGCTGGGTTCCTCCAGCCATTCTCCTTGCTCGCTCTTCTTCTTGCTGTTTCTGCTGAATACGCAGGTACAGAGCCCGCTGTGCAGAGGGCAAGAAGTCTGGGATGTTCCCTTTGTTGATAGATGGCTGTGCATCCATATTTTCGGGGTCCTCTTCAGGAGGGTGCTCGTGATATTGGTGAGGATTGTCTTCTGGCATCTCTCCATAGTTGTTATAAGCACCTAGTAAACAAAGACAAATATAGAGTTCTGTCCATAGTTTTACTTACTGAAGGAATAAAACCATTAGCAAAATAGGACTGAAGTGAACATATTTTACATCTCAGTGTTGGTAGCATAAGTGATAATACTTGGAGTCAAAAAGATGCGATACAAATGCTACACTTTTAAGGTGATCTTTTTTTTTTTTTGAATACTAAAGCTGGCCATACACTGATTTTTGGCCAGCTAAGTAGGGACGGGCTGATGTTCAGTGTGTGGCTATCCCCAGTCAATAGAAGTCAATTAAAACAACAGAAAATCAAATTAACAATCTACTTCTGTTAAGTAGGACTGCCACACGCTGATCAAAATTTGGCTGTTCCCTGCTGAACGGACCTAATTTGAATCTGTTTATAGACAGCTTTAGTTGTATTAAAATTTATGAATCTATCTATACATGTGAGAGAATGCCTGCTTTGCATTTATTTTTTATTTTTCCTCTTTGGCTTCCCTAAACACCATTAACTTGAGGATTGCAATAAAACAGTGAGGAGACCACTCAGTTTTTTTATATAGTAAGTTTTAACACACAAGTACAAAAAGGAGACAAAGAAAGCTTGAATTTACACTAAGGATATAGGCCTGACAAAGAGGACTCCGCCCGCTCACTCCCAACGTGTGGTGTCATCACAACCTGCCCCTCTGGCCAGCAATCTTGCTTCTTGCTATCCACAGTGCCCTACAATCATACACACCAGTGTGAGTTCCTTCTGGTTTTCATTCTATGAGATATTATAGTGCTTTTTGGCATACTTACCCAATGACCATCCAGGATTGATTATCCATTAGAACCCATGATATGCCACTGGCTGGAAGTTTTTGGTTCATAGACTGTTGTCTTACTTACTAAATGTGAGTGCATTTTTTTCTTTTATTTTATATAATAAATAATACTTTAGAGCAGCCCATGCTCCCTTTGGTTTCTGTTTTTTGCACCGTATTTTTACATCGACTCATGAGACTATTCACCAGGAGCAGTTCCCTATCCACCCTCCATACATCTCCACTGAGAACCATCAGAAGGACGCCACCTGCTGGACACTGAGTAATGAATGTGTTACACCTTCTCTAAGTGAGTGCATCTCTTATTTTTTTTGTATATTTTATTTCTATAAATACTACACAGAGTGGTGTGCTTTCCTCTCTTTTATTGTTTTATATCAAACCTCTGAAGGTTGTATTCTGATCTTGCTACTTATGCACTTGGTTTCAAGTATATCCCCTTGTTGGGGCAAATTTGATATTATAAAAACACAATTTCACTTGAGGACTGCAGACTGAGACCACTCAGTTGTTTATGGAGCAAGATTTCACACACAAGTACAAAAGGAGACAACCAAAACTTGAAGAAAAAGGATATACTGAAAATGTGTAAATATTTTCTCATCACCAGCTGCTGTCGCTAACTAAAGTCAATATTAAAAAGAGTGTCAGCTACAACACCCAAAACAAACTAAGGCGGTTGCATGTATATAAAAAAAAAAAAAAAAAAAAAAAAAAAAAAAACACCTGTCAGAATAACATTGATCAAATAATACACACTACACACATAATACATACTAAACACATAAGAACTGAAGCAATGTCAGCTCCTAAATTTCTGTCTTCAGGAATTCTTTTTAAAATTCCTGGCAAAAAAAAGGCAATCATATGCCACCAAGCCTAATATAACTCCTTCCCGTGTCTCTCATCTTAAGGGAATTCAAAATGCACCACTTAAAGCGATAGTGAAAAATACTAAAGGAAAAATCAAAGTGATGCAGTCTGTTACTAGCATTAAAGGATAAGTTCACCTTTGTGTACGTTACATGTTCCACCAACTTGTAACATGATCCCACCTCTGCAGCCTCACACCGATCCCCCCCCATTGTGACAGCGAGCCGGGGATCTTCTTCCCATACCAGCTGTCACAATTTGAAAAGAACATAGCCGTGCGGGCCTTCGTTCACATGGCCACATCATTCATTCACAGAGATCAGTGAATGAATTAAGTACAAGTACCAGCAGTTGACGGCTTGTAATTCTCAAAGAAATACCAAGTGAAAAAAAAAAAAAAACCTGTTTGTTTACTTCCGGAATTAGGAATTAGCCCATAATTTGTTAGTGACTTTTGTAAAGTCCATCTGATACTACTCTCTCCAGACAATGGCCGCTGTCCAAAAGGTGTCTGTTTCTACCCCATAAACAGAGGGGTCATCCGAAAATACAAAAAAACCCCAGAAAATGAATGCAGTCACCACATCTTAGGACTGGTAAACTGCAGTACTTTACAATTTTATTTTTGGGTTTAGACACCCTTTAAGGGTACAGGCTCTTATAAATTAACTATCTGATCCATCTGGCAATGGTGGGGTGGGAGACCACGTGTCTCTTCCGAGATCCACAAGCAGTTCAAAGAGGGAGTCAGTTTGCGAGTAGCCTTCATGTAGACCCTGAAAACATCCAGGCAATGTTGGGCAATTTCCTTGCCATGTTTTGGGACATGACAGAGGGAAGCAAGGACAATGTCCTTACTGAGGTGGAAGGAGGAGGCTACCATAGGCAAAAATTATGGGGTTTTTTTTGCCTCAAAACCACTTTGTCATTGTGCAAAAAACCCCCCCCCCCCCCCCCTCAAAAAAAAAAACAAAAAACAAAATGCGGTGTTACTTAGAAACACATCTAACAAATGCAAAGGCAACCAAGAAGACAACCTTAAAAGGTGAGGTCTTCCAAAGGAACATCTCTGTCTGGTTCAAAGGGGAGTTTCTGAGGAGCAGAGCGCACCAGGTTGAGATCTCAAGGTGACAAAATGTCGCTGAACTGGGGGAATTATATGAGCAACTCTGTATAAAAGTCCTGATAAGGGATTGTGAGGCAAAAGGTTACCGGCAGAAGATGGAGAAGGCAGAAACCTGTCCCTTGAGGGTACCCAGGGCCAGACACTGGTCAAGATCAGACTGCAGAAAGGCCAAAATACGAGTGATGAAGTATTCCCTAAACATAAGCCTTCTACCCTTACCTCATGCAAAGAAGCAATGATAAATCTTGCAGGTGTTGAATTTTCATGCTTTGAGCAAAATGGGAATGACAGTCAGAGATACACCCATCCTTTAGGACTTGGGCTATGCTGTTAGAGCCAGTGACTGAGAATCAGAAAGAAACAGGGTGCCTTGGGCCAGTAAGTCTGATAAGAAGAGACGAAAGCTCATACACATGTCCGAGTATGTGGGTGCCAACGGAACCCTTTTCTCCTCTATATTGCGCAGCAGTCGAGGGAGGATCTTCACTGGAGGTAGATATAAACCATATAAAATCAAATCCAAGGAATCACTAAGAGCATCTACTGCAAAGACTAGAGGATCCTTGGTCTTTTGGTTATGAATTGCTTGTTGGACTTGGAGACCAGTATGTCCACATCTGGTTTTCTATACCTTTGACAGAGATTTTAAAAGATTTAACCACTCCCCAGGGTCTAGGCACTGATGGCTTAGAAAAATCTGCTTGCCAATTGTCCACTCTCACAATGTGGACAGTTAAGAGAGTTGGAACGCAAGTTTCAGTCCATGACAGTATTAGATCTATTTCTTTCGAAGCTGCTAGATATCTAGTACCCACCTGATGATTTCTAAAGCCCACTGCTGGGGCACTGTCAGATTATACTTTGACTGAGCAACCTTGTAAAAGGTAGGCTTAGTGTTGCAGAGACAGTCTGATGGCTCTCATTTACAGAATGTTAATGGGCAGTTGTGACTCCTGTTGAGACCATGCCCTGAACAGTCTGGGAGTTGTAAACTCACATTTGTTGTTACTATTTTTCAAGTCTTGTGAGGAAGAAATCTGTTTTCGTCAGAGACCAAAAGGTGTGTACCCAAGAGGAAGTCAGAAGAGGGGAGAAACATCTATATAGGGCATTGCTCAGGGATAAGGGACTAGCTATCACCTTGAGTAATGTTCTGTGTTTATTGCAGGCTGTCTATAGAAGCATGCAATCAAGCTATTTTGTCCCAGATCCCCTGCACCTTTGATCCACCATAGTTAGTGAGGAGATCCCCAATGGGGTCTCAAGGTTCAGGAGAACAGAATTGACAGGATTCTGCATGGCCGAAGAAGGAGCTTCTATTACCCAGGTGCTGGACCAAGTTCCTTTGGCTGTGTCTCTGTAGAAGATGGTCACAGGCGTGTCCGATCTCAGCACAAGGAGCAGGTGGAAACACGTCATCTGGGAGGCATGATGCAGTTAACTCATCCTTCAGAGACGAAGTCCAGTTAGGGGGGAAAAAAACTTAAATTTGAAATTGTTTCCTAGTGTTACAGACAAAATGGTAGGGGGTGCCATAACAAAGTGAACAACACCCAAATCCTCTGCCTGCTAAATCGCAGTGTGCTATGACCTGCGGGCAATGTTGATAAAAGCCAGGAACTGGATTCCATATGCAGGGAAAACGCTGCCTTACTTTATTAACAGCGCTGGACCCTAAGACACTTCGCATGTCCCAGTGGGCATACCCCTGATGGTGTTTTCAGGGTCTGGGAACAACAGAAATGGACCATGCAGGTCCAAGTAGTTAAATTTACTTGTTGCACCCGAGGGTAACTGATCCAGAATCTGCTAGGTTGTGAAAGGCAATAAGCAGTCATGTTTAAAGAAGATTCAGGCAAAAAAAAAAACAGAGTTCCATCACCTAAAAGCACTAGCGAAAAACTTGAGCCTCAAGGAGTTGGCAGGGTTATGTGGGTACGCTCTTGAGGTGGCCCTAGCAAACGTTTTTTTGCCCGTGTTCATTCACCTTCAGGTAGCAGTATATCCATGACCTATGAATACCAGTCCTTTACGAATGAGAACTTTTTTTTACATACTTTAATTTTTCTTTAATAGCGCTCAAGTGCCACCTCAAGAGTGAGCATCCCTTTTGCAGTATTTAGATGAGGACTGCTGTTCCCTGTGTGAGAGCAGTGGTCTATCTGCAGCAGTCCCGCCCACCCCTAGCACAGTCAAATAGTCATGCTCCTTGCTAACTGGAGAGTAGTTAATGATGGTACAGTGGAATGTTGAAACAGATGAACCAAACCAAAATAAAATTCAGCAGCAGGCCATTTTGTACCAATGTGAATATGGTGGAAGGTCTAGCTCAGAGGACCCAACACCATCTGTGTTGTGCTTCCTACCTCTATGACAGTCTGACTACCAGAACAGCTCATTCAGGAGCAGAAAGCTTCAATTGCTCTGGATGCTAAGACTTTTCTATTAGCTCACACACCTACAAGCTGCGGACATGACTGGGTGCTTAGGGATATACATTATATTGCCAAAAGTATTGGGAAGCCTGCGTTTACACACATAATAATATTATTACATCGAGTTTATATAGCGCCAAAATGTTTACTCAGCGCTGTACAATAGAGGGGGGGGACAATACAAGAAACAGAACAACAACAACAGTACACGAGGGGTTAGAGGGCCCTACTCTTTCGAGCTTACAATCTAGAAGGGAGGGACACATATGAACTTTAATGGCATCCCAGTCTAACTCCATAGAGTTCAATATTGAGTTGGCACACCCTTTGCAGCTATAACAGCTTCAACTCTTCTGGGAAGGCTGTCCACAAGGTTTAAGAGTGTGTCTATGGGAATGTTTGACCATTCTTCCAGAAGCACATTTGTGAGGTCAGGCACTTATGTCGGACAAGACGGTCTCGTTCACAGTCTCCGCTCTAATTCATCCCAAATGTGTTATGTCGTGTTGTGATCAGGACTCTGTGCAGGCCAGTCAAGTTGCTCCACCCCAGACTCACTCATCCATGTCTTGACGGACCTTGCTTTGTGCACTGGTGTGCACTCACGTTGGAACAGGAAAGGGCCATCCTCAAACTGTTCCCCACAAAGTTGGGAGCATGAAATTGTCAAAATGTCTTGGTATGCCAACGCTTTAAGAGTTCCCTTCACTGGAACTAAGGGCCAAGCCTAACCCCTGAAAACAACCCCAAACCATAATCCCCCCTCCACAGAACGTTACATTTGGCACAATGCAGTCAGGCAAGCACCGTTCTCCTGGCAACCGCCATACCCAGACACTTCCATCGGATTGACAGAGAAGCATAATTTGGCACTCCAGAGAACAGTGGTGGCGTTCTTTAAACCACTGCATCCAATGCTTTACATTGCACTTGGTGATGTAAGGCTTGGATGCAGCTGCACGGCCATGGAAACCCATTCCATGAAGCTCTCTACACACTGTTGTTGTGCAAATCTGAAGGCCACACAAAGTTTGGCGGTCTTTAGCTATTGACTCTGCGAAAAGTTGCCGACTTCTATGCACTGTGTGGTTCAGAATGAGCTGACCCCGCTGTCATTTTACGTGGCCTACCACTTCGTGGCTGAGTTGCTGCTGTTCCCAGTTGCTTACACTTAGCTATAATACCACTAACAGTTGACCGTGGAATATTTAGTAGCAAGGAAATCTCACGGATGGACTTATTGCACAAGTGGCAACCTATCACGGTACCACGCTTGAATTCACTGAGCTCCTGAGAGCGACCCATTCTTTCACAAATGTTTGTAGAAGCAGTCTGCATGCCTAGGTGCTTGATTTTATACACCTGTGGCCATGGAGGTGATTGGAAAACCTGAATCCAATGATTTGGAGGGGTGTCCCAATACTTTTGGCAATATAGTGTACTATAACCATTTTTTTTCATGAAACAGATGTTTCTTTTCCAGCACTTCACTGGAGTCAAGATTTTTAGATATACAGTAGAAATACACATTGCCATATTTGTTTACAAAGAACTGAGAAATGTGATCAGCTGTAGAAAGGTATTACTCTATTAACCTCCTCGGCGGTATGATTCTTTCCGATTTTTTGTGCTGAAAGCGGTACCATTTTTTTGCATGGAAATATGTAGTTTTTTATTGTAGGCTGTAATTTTTAGGAATAACTCACTGAAATCTGTACGAACAAGAGTCTAGTAAACATTCCAGATATGATAAAACTTGAAACACGAAATCGTAAATTATAATTTAATAAATAATCATAAAAAAAAATAATATAATACATTTAATTCAATAATATAATCAAACCAAAAACACTGAAATTTGAAATACAGAGGCAAATTCGCAAAATCGTTTTCAGTGTCTGATGACGAATTTCCCCACAAATCATCACTCAATTCTGCAAGTGGTTCTGATTTACTATCGCTGTTCTCTAGCTGGTCTAAAACCGCTTTTGACGTAAAGGGACGCTTTATGGACGCCATGGACTTTTCTAAGTTTCCAGGCACAAAGAACAGTCAAAATGCAGGCAGGGCACAGGACAAAGCAGTAGGGACAAAATATATGTGAAATGCATTGAAACAGCAATGACAGCAAAAATGACATTTTTTAAAAATTTCAAATTTGCCGCCGGTTCCGGCGCCCGTACGTCCCAGGGACCGGAACACGGAAGCCGGATGCCGGCATCGGCCGGAGGAGATGGCCGGGGATGCTGCAGGGGACACATCGCGGGAGCGAAGGACAAGGTAAGTGCTGCAGGGACTCCCTGAGCAACGCCGCATGGTAAGCCAGAGTGTAGCTCGGGGTTACCGCTCTTGGAACTCAAATTTTACCCCGAGCTACACTCGGGAAAACCGCCAAGGAGGTTAATGAACAATACATTTTTGCCTGAACTCCAGGCACAAAAACCTTCATTTAAATATTTGTCGAAAGCCACAAACTATAAGAATCTGCTTTGTTTACACCAATTGCCAAAACCCAGATAATACCCTGGTTAGAAAAACAAAACTGTGACCCCATCATTGTGCTGTACATATCCTGTGCAGAAAGCAGATCGAATGACAGAACATATGGGAGGTTCTGCCATATAACATCTATCTTTTCCAAATTTACTTACTTGGCTTCTTCTTAAATTGTGAAGTGAGACAAGACTAAAGAAGCCCAATCATGCTTAGTTTTCTTCACTCAATCAGTGGGTTGAACGAAAAAAAAAAAAACGCTATCCCAGCCTGCCGATACATGGATCGACATTCAACCTGTCCCTACTGAACCAGCTGAATTTTGATCCATGTATGGTTAGCCTAAGTGAAGATCAGAAACAAAGGACACACAAGACTGTAGAAAAGGTGATTTAAAAGAAAATATGAAACACAAGTGAAAGAAATACCTCCATCTCCCATCATATCAGGCCTCATCTCCATATTCGGGTCTGGATAATATTCACCATAGAAGTCTGGGCCTGGTGGACCATCAACCATCATATCAGGTACATCATCAGGACCATAGGGCATCATAGGTGGGCCTTCCTCCATATCCATATCATGGTGCAGTGGGCCTTGAGGGCCCATAGGTCCAGGAAACCTTGGTGGAGGTGGCCCAGAGGGACCTCCTGGTGGACCAGGTGGCCTAAACAGCAAAGACAAACAACAGTTCAGTCAATCAGAACCAAGAACACAAAGTAAAAACTGTACTCATGAGCAATATCTTACCTGACACCCAATTTATGAGCCAAATGGGCAGTGGGTCGCACCACAATTTCAAAAAGAGATGGTATTTTTCGCTGGCACATCTGTGGATCCATAGGCCCAGATCCAGGACTACCTTGCATTGTATCCATTGGAGGACCCCCTGGTGGACTTCCAAGCATTGGTCCTCCATCTTGCATTGAAGGAAGTGGACCTCCAGGTCCACCAAGCATTGGAGGCATGGGACCTCCCTCACAGGGATGTATAGGACCTCCTTGATAAGGAGGCAATGGTCCTTCTGGTGGTAATTGCTCTCCAGGCCCAGCAAGCATTGGGTGCATTGGGCCACCAGGCATTGGGCCACCAGGCATTGAGCCCCCGGGAACTGGAATGCTGGGCATTGGCTCTCCATGCATTTGACCTGCTGACATATGTCCTCCTGGCAATGGACGACCACCATGAATAGGTCCACCCATCACAGAGCCTTCAGGCACTAAGCCAGGACTTCCAGTCATGATTTCTTCTTCTGGAGGACTTCCAGGTCCGTGCATGTCTGAACCTGGCAGTGGCCCACTTGGAACTGGACCCCCCGGAAGTTGAGAAACAGAAATTGATGAACCAGATGATGTTAATGGTACAGCAGGTGGTGGGGATGCTGGATCACATGGACCTGTATTAGAAGGCCCTGATGGTGCTGAAGGTGTAGGTAGAAGCCCCACACCAGGCGGTGGTTTAGGCAAAGGATTTATGCCCTGTTTTTTCAATTCTTCTACATCTTTTTCATCCTCGGCTCCAGCTTCTGCATCTTCCGCTAATAACTAAAGAATAAGCATATGACGCATGAGCCAGCATTCAGATTAGAATAGTCATAAGTTCTCATCTGTATAGTTTTACACATTAGTTAGGTACACATAGTTTGAAAAAAAAAAAAAGGGGGTAGCAAGACACTCATAACTAGCATTTGCAGATTGAGAAATAGGCAACAGTACCACTATTTAAAATGTGTTAGACATCATTTGAGCCTATGTCCCACAAATCTCCTCTACATTACAACAACAGACAATGCAGCTTACAAACAGCAAAACAAAAGCTTGCACAGCTAAGATGAATTTTTCTTGTTCAGATATACTCAAGCGGGAGATGATGTAGAGGAGTGGACAAACAAAGAAATATTCATATCTCTCAACCAGAAGCAACAGAGTCTAAGCCAATATAGTGTCCTTGGCTGATATTAATGCAGGACCCTAATGTTGCAAAAATACCCATCAAGCTTTTGTTATGCTAACAACAGGACCATGTTTGGGTATTTGCTTAATGAATAAAACAATCACTCTCATAGGTCTATGAAAAAGTGGTTATAGAGTGTTTGGTGGAGAGATCAAATCACATTTGCCAGGGGTGCTGCCTTAACATAAATAATCATGGCTAAAAAAGCAACTATATACTTTGTACCTTATCCAGCAACTCCTGTTTCTCTTCTGTTAGTGGCTCATGAGAGAACATGCACTCTTCACCATTAACGCAGCTGCCTGTTGTGTGATATAGCTTACAGGGAAAATCACGTGAAAATTATTAAGGAAAAGACCAACTCATTGCAGTTTGATGCCAGTAAATGACTAAGCAACTTGATTCCTTACACAGTTAAGAGGGAAATGTACCTACTAGGGAATGTGTGTGATGTATTCTGTAAAAATCAGAAGTACCTATAAAAGAACAATTCTGTAACGTGTGGTTCAGTATATCAAAGTGATAAGAACAGGTTATAATGCTTGTTTCCTAGCCCTATAGCCACAGACGTATAGCTTCAATCCCCTGCCTCTGAAGCACTTGAGGTACTGACAATGTTTTTTTGATACCCTTTTATCCTCTACAAATTCCGTGCTGTTCTGCAGAATAGAAAAAGCGTTTACAAGTAGTAGTCTCCATCCAAGAGCAGGATGCAAAGGCCCTGAAGTTAATGTTTTGGGGATTGGAATGGCAGAAGTGAATACAACTGGCATCCTAAGTTAACCTCCTCCCACCTCACTCTTTTAATAGTTTAACTCATATCACAAGCAAGAAAAAAAACAAAAGAAAACAACTTTAAAAATGTATAAATATGAAAAAGCTTATTATAACAGCTAAAAAGGATATTGTGCATGTAAGGGCAACTGTCAGCTCGAGCACAATAACCGGTGACATAGAACTTGCACAGTCCACGCCGCCTTGGGACTTCCACATCATGGCTGAAATTACAATGCTCCCCCTGCAAAAAAAAAGACAGACTTGTTGCATTACATTCCTACAATATACAGGTGAAACTCGAAAAATTAGAATATAGTGCAAAAGTTCATTTATTTCAGTAATGCAACTTAAAAGGTGAAACTCATACATGACTCATTACATGCAAAGCAAGATAGTTCAAACCGTGATTCGTCATAATTCTGATGATTATGGCTTACAGCTCATGAAAACCCCAAATCCACAATCTCAGAAAATTTGAATATTACATGCAATCAATAAAACAAGGATTTTACATAGAACAATATCGGACCTCTGAAAAGTATAAGCATGCATATGTACTCAGTACTTGGTTTGTGCCCCTTTTGCAGCAATAACTGCCTAAATGCGGCGTGGCATGGAAGCTATCAGCCTGTGGCACTGCTGAGGTGTTATGGAAGACCAGCATGCTTCAATAGCGGCCTTCAGCTCTTCTGCATTGTTCGGTCTCATGTCTCTCATCTATCTGTTGGCAATGCCCCATAAATTCTCTATGGGGTTCAGGTCAGGCGATTTAGCTGGCCAATCAAGCACAGTAATCCCACGGTCATTGAACCAGGTTTTGGTGCTTTTGGCAGTGTGGGCAGGTGCCAAGTCCTGCTGGAAAATGAAGTCAGCATCCCCATAAAGCTTGTCTGCAGAAGGAAGTATGAAGTGCTCCAAAATCTCCTGGTAGACGGCTGCGTTGACCCTGGACTTAATGAAGCACAGTGGACCAACACTAGCAGATGACATGGCTCCCCAAATCAACACAGACTGTGGAAACTTCACACTGGACTTCAAGCATCTTGCAGTGTGTGCCTCTCCATTCTTCCTCCATACTCTGGGTCCTTGGTTTCCAAATGAGATGCAAAAGTTGCTCTCATCAGAAAAGAGGACTTTGGGCCACTGAGTAACAGACCAGATCTGTTTTTCTTTAGCCCAGGTAAGACGCTTCTGACGTTGTTTGTTCAGGAGCGGCTTGACAAGAGGAATACGACATTTGAAGCCCACGTCCAGGATCCGTCTGTGTGTGGTGGCTCTTGATGCACTGACTCTAGCCTCAGTCCACTCCTTGTGAAAGTCCCCAACACTTTTGAATGGCCTTTTCCTGACAATCTTCTCCAGGCTGCGGCCATCTCTGCTGCTTGTGCACCTTTTTATTCCACACTTTTCCCTTCCACATAACTTTCTATTAATGTGCTTTAATACAGCACTTTGGGGACATCCAACTTCTTTTGCAATTACTTTTTGAGGCTTTCCCTCCTTATGGAGGGTGTCAATGATGGTTTTCTGTACAACTGTCAGGTCAGCAGTCTTTCCCATGATTGTGATTCCTACTGAACCAGACTGAGAGACCATTTAAAGGCTCAGGAACCCTTTGCAGGTGTTATGGCTTAATTAGCTGATTAGAGTGGGACACTTTGAGCCTAGAATATTGCACCTTTTCACAACATTCTAATTTTCTGAGATTGCAGATTTGGGGTTTTCATGAGCTGTAAGCCATAATCATCACAATTATGAAAAATCACGGCTTGATCTATCTTGCATTGCATGTAATGAGTATCTCATATATTAGTTTCACCTTTTAAGTTGCATTACTGAAATAAATTAACTTTTGCACGATATTCTAATTTTTCGAGTTTCACTTGTATATACATTGCCTTGAAAAAGTATTCATACCCCTTGAATTTTTTCCACATTTTGTCATGTTACAACCAAAAACATAAATGTATTTTATGTGATGGAACAACACAAAGTGGCACATAATTGTAAACTGGAAGGAAAATTTCAAATTTTTTTACAAATAAATATCTGAAAAAAGTGTGGTGTACATTTGTATTCAGCTCCCAAGAGTCAATACTATGTAGAACAACCTTTTGCTGCAATTACAGCTGCAAGTCTTTTTGGGGATGTCTCTACCAGCTTTGCACATCTAGAGAGTGAAATGTTTGCCCATTGTTCTTTGGAAAACAGCTCAAGCTCTGTCAGACTGGATGGAGAGTGTCTGTGAACAGCAATTTTCAAGTCTTGCCACAGATTCTCAATTGGATTTAGCTCTGGACTTTGGCTGGGCCATTCCAACATATGAATATACTTTGAAGTAAACCATTCCATTGTAGCTCTGGCTGTATGTTTATGGTCGTTGTCCTGCTGGAAGGTAAACCTCCACCCCAGTCTCAAGTCTTTTGCAGACTCAACAGGTTTTCTTCTAAGATTGCCCTGTATTTGGCTCCATCCATCTTCCCATCAACTCTGACCAGCTTCCCTGTCCCTGCTGAAGAGAAGCATCCCCACAACATGATGCTGCCACCACCATGTTTCACAGTGGGGATGGTGTGTTCAGGGCGATGTGTAGTGTTAGTTCTCCGCCACACATAGCATTTTGTTTTTAGGCCAAAAAGTTACATTTTGGTCTCTGACCAGAGCACCTTCTTCCACGTTTGGTGTGTCCCCCACATGGTTTCTTGCATTCTGCAAATGGGACTTCTTATGGCTTTTTTTCAACAATGGCTTTCTTCTTGCCACTCTTCCATAAAGGCCAGATTTGTGGCGTGCACGACTAATAGTTGTCCTGTGGACAGATTCTCCCACCTAAGCTGTGGATCTCTGCAGCTCCTAAAGAGTTAGCATGGGCCTCTTGGATGCTTCTCTGATTATTTCTCTCCTTGCCCGGCCTGTCATATTAGGTGGACGGCTATGTCTTGGCAGGTTTGCAGTTGTGCCATACTCTTTCCATTTCTGAATGATGGATTGAACAGTGCTCTGTGAGATGTTCAAAGCTTGGGATATTATTTTATAACCTAACACTGCTTTAAACCTCTCCACAATTTTATCCTTGACCTGTCAGGTGTGTTCCTTGGCCTTCATGATGCTGTTTGTTCACTAATGTTCTCTAGCAAACCTCTGAGAGCTTCACAGAACAGCTGTATTTATACTGAGATTAAATTACACACAGGTGGACACTATTTACTAATTAGGTGGCTTCTGAAGGCAATTGGTTCCACTAGATTTTAGTTAGGCCCAGAGTACAGGGGACTGAATACAAATGCACTCCACACTTATCAGATACTTCTTTTTT